TACCAATTATTTCCCATTGGCGGTAATTTGGTTACACACCGATATCACCACCCCGGCATACATCATTGGCCCTTCAACATATAGTTGGGATCTATGTGAGGAATAACTGTATTTCCGTCAATACCTCTAGCCCCTCACATGGGGACTTATTCAAGGCCAGTATGTTGATTCGATGAGGAACATTTCTAGGCATTAGGGGGAGATTTCATGTACCATTGAGAATGCCAGGAAATTAGTGGAATGTTCATACATTTCTGCCTCAAATCCATGTACTCAAAGATCTAAACCATGCATTCAGAAGATTTGCAACACATTGCAAATAACCTACTAGATTCATTTACTGACTATATAAAGGTGTTACGCAATCCTACAATCATGGAAAAAATACTTGAAAGAGTGAAGGTACCAACAAAAACCACTCCACTCCCCATTCGATGCAACAAGGGGAGATGTATGGCAAAAATACATCAGGATTCAGCTTCTCGCATGTAAGGATATTAAGGTCTCTAAATCAGTAAATGCAAGTCAACTCCACGTTGACAGACATCTAATGGGTAGTATACACCTAGTGGATGGGAAACCTCCACCAACCCAGGTTATAGTGCACACAATGACCGGGACATCGTAATACCCGACTCAGCCGCATTGGGAAATCACGACCAAACGATATTTCCATCAGCTATATATTGATATATATATATATATATATATATATTCTAGAGAAACAAATAACTAGAAGTCTACAATTGTCGACATACATTTCTTAACTAGATTGCAAAAATCTTTCAAATGATTCAGATCCAAAGACCATGGCCATGGCAAAGTGTGAACAACACTTGGACTGAACTCAAGAAAAGGGTATTATCTAGTTAGAAATAATCTTGCTCAGTAATGGGAAGGTATTCATAAGAAATACCTAGAACGGCTTTCTTCTGGAAACCGAATTGAGAACAACGAGGTGGTGAAACATATAGCAAGTATTGTAGCACAAGGGTTCACGCAGATACCCCCAACTATTCTCCAGAGGTGGAATCTCTTTCCAATAACTTATATCATGGCAATACAAAATCATCTATCTCTGCTGTTGATAGATGTAGTGATCACATATCCATGTGGATCACTAGATTCATACATATATGATTGATTTCTAATGTAAACTCAATTCTGAATCGAAGTACAAAATGCGACATACATTGTGTAAAACTCAGTAAGTCACCATATATATGACTTATTGTTGTCAGTACATATGGTACAACCTACGTACTGGGTTCCTTATACACAAGGATTACTCCTACGATGATGATTATCCATGTTTGTGTGTCTGCAACGATGACACATGTAATTATCTAAATGAAAGAGTTTAAAAATGAAGGATTTGGCTAAACCAAAATACCGCTCGTTACTACAACTTGACCACCTTCATTCATACATTATGGTATACTACGTTGACTATACCCAAAATATATTGGAGAAATTGATTCTGGACAAATATTATCCGTCCATAACTCTCATGGTAGTTCATTCTCTAGATGTAGAGAAAGATCTATTTAGACCAAGAGATGATGGAAATGAGATATTGGGACTCAGTGTTCCATAATGCCATTGGATCCACCAAACAATTTTGGTTGGGACTCAAGAATATCTATCAATATCTTCAAAGGCATCAAACATCTTGTCCTAGTTTTTCAAAGTTTCAGAGAAATCTGAACACCAATAGCAAGCTCAGTGTTCCTACTAGGTGTGGTACTCATTCCATAATAGTATTAGAAACTGACCTCATGGCTACATCCACCAACCATGATCTCAAGGATAATGTTGCTTGTGTTGCCCGGATGCAAACATGTTACTAATAAGCAATATCTTTATATTGCATATCTTGCAAGTCAAATCATACAACTGATTTGTCCACTAAGTCTCTACCAACTTATACATTCCAAAAAAATGTTCATGGAACTAGTACATGACTACTTCGGAATTTGCAAGAATCAGGGGGAGTATCTTCCTGGATTGTTTCCGTTCAATGCATCATATTATACTCTTTTTCCCTTCATGTGTTTACTATACAGGTTCTCATAAAGGTTTTTAATGAGGTAATATAAACACAAGATCATATGTCATACTTTCAGTTCTCCCCACTCGGGTTTTTAAGAAAGTGTATACGACATATTTACTCAAAACTCTATGAGTCGTCTTGTATCGAGTTAAATGAGACAATAACCATTATATGTTGCATCATTTTCTCCTTATTTTTCCACTAGGTTTGCAGGATTTTTAGCAACATATCAAACACATATATCCTCACTTTTTCCCACAGTGTTTTGGAGGAGTTTTCAAGATGATGATACTTACACTAAAATGCATGGATTAGGGGGAATGTTAGGCTTTAATTAATCCTATTAATCCATGGTTTTTCTGACAAAGGCGGTTGCCTCATGTCCCTTTGGACACACCCCTTCGGGGGCTAACTGTTCACTTTACATCTTTGTCTATCGTCTCTCTCATTCTCTACTAGAAACAGTTCCGAGCATGTTATGCACCCAATAGGAGCTCCCCCACCGATGCCACCCATAAGTGATAAAACATGCTTCACACAGGGGAAATCCCTCGCCTGGACCGGCCCATGCAATAGGGACTTCCTTACTGTGCTCTGCGTGCTGGTAGAAAACGCAGCACACCCGTTTGAGCATGTCCGGGCGGTCTGTTTTTAATTTTTTTTTTGTTTTTTCTACTGTAATAATTTGAGACTTAAAAAACATCTGAATTTAGAACAATGAGAATTTTGAAATCAAATGTTTAATAAAACATAAATTGTTTGTGTATTTAAAATTGTTCATGATTTTATAAAAAATGTTTGCTTATTAATTTTTTTTTTCTAAATTTTGAAAACAATCTTTCAAGAAATCAAAAGGTGTTCATGATTTCTTAGAAAATACGGGTACTAAAAAATGTTAATGAAATTGAATTTTTTTTGCCAATTCAAAATATATTCATGAATGAAAAATATCCTAAAATTTCTAAAACTGTGCGGGACTTACAAATTATTTTACTCATTCATAAAATGATCATGCATTTTAAAAAAATTGTTAAGTAAAAAAATGTTCGTGAATTCAAAAATCGTTTCACCAATTTCCAAAACAAGGTTCGCCATTCTAGAAATTTCAGCTGATTCAATAATTTTTTTTAAAATGTTCACAATTTTTTCCCAAATAGTATAAAATGTTAATGAATTCGAAAATGTTCTTGATTTTAGAAAATTTGTAAAAGTATCCATGAATTTGAAAATGTTCACAAGTTTAATTTTTTTTTCATGACTTCACGAAATTGAGAGTGATGATATATCTCGGCGATGCAGCAAAATGTGATCATGGCAATTGGAGATTATGATTTTTTTTTTCTCCTGTTGCAACGCATGGGCCCTTTTGCTATTTCGACATAAACCTTGGTTCGGTTCCATTTTGCAACTTGGTACTTGTCCTTTTCGACATGTACACCGTTAATTATACCTTCTTATTTTCACTAGCTTCAGGCCATTTATGTTATCTAAACCAAAAATGGAAAGAAAAACACATTCCACCACCTTGAGCACTTCATCCCCTTTCTAGAAACGGAGCTCGCCGGGGTTCAACTCGTATTCCGGTATTCTCCCCGAGGTTCGACACCATCATCGGCGTCCTCCTGTTTCTCTGCAAATTACAGGCGATCAGAGACAGAGACCAACACATGAACCACGAATCCATCAATCAAACAAATCAAAGAGACAGTTCATGTGATGGAAAGAAAGATATATGTGCAAGGTACAATGCCTAGCGCCAAGATAATGAATCAGCCCTATTTTTCAGTTTCCACACCTTGGTGTGGTGTGTACAGTGTATATGTTGTTTCTCCCGATAACTTCATGTTAATACAGTGTACATGGTTTATGTCTGGTTACCATGTTGTTTACACTGTTCTGACGTTTTATTGAGACGCTTTGTCAGCAATCAATTACCAATTGGTTGCACATCGGTGGGATTGGTGCAGTTACACGACAGATTCCATAGGGTGACGAAAATCAGAGTTTACCATACTTCTGACATCAAAGTTGAGTTAGAGCTGGTGGCTGGAGGCATTCTGATCAGGAGTTTAGTTTCATTTCGATGGAAATAGAACCGGGGTGCTTAAGGCTTCTGGAGTTATACAAGAGTGAAAGCTGTAAAATAACTGTTGTAATAAAAAAAATTGTGAATAACTACTATAACTCAGTTACTTCTGCCTATTTATCCTGCATCAATCACCAGAGTTTGGCTTGTACAGTATGATTTAGAAACTGATTGGAAACCTCAGTACATTGTTTGCACATTGTGATGTCAGAGATAGAGCTCCTCATGTCAAAGTTGATTAATCATTTTGTGCATGAAGGCCGGCAAAAGAAACAGCAGAAGGCGAATGTATTAGGAACAGCTGACAATATGGGAACAAGGAAAACCCAGTCTACAAAGAGAAGGACGAAGCCAAAGAATTCCTATTGACTTGCTGAGAAACATGGAAATATATACTTACCAGCAGAGTCGACTCTCAGTATCATGAATAGCTATTACAGAAGTATGTGATATGCAAATAATACTTTGAAAGGAAAACCAGACCGAGCAGAAATAGCATGAACAATTACCTCTCTTGTGTAGAAAAAAGACTGGTATTATTCCAATTTGAAAATGTAAAAAGAAATAAGAATATTTGATTACTAGTGAATGCTAACCTTGCAATTGATCAAGTGTGTAATGGGAATATAAGGTAACAATACTAGGTTTACTCTTCACAACCATTAACTCACAGTACAAAATTCACATACTTCTGGGTGAAAAAGAAAGGATAATTCAGTCTTCAATACAAGAAGGAAGCGCTGATTGAAACTAGAAAACAAGCATGCACTGCTGACTGAAACTATAATAAACGAGGTAGCATCCATATTCTTCTTTCAGACATAAGACAGCACAATCTTAAGGTATCAGACCATTGACAAATCACGGATATGCTTCTGAAGGAGCATCTACAAAACAACAGTTGAAAGGGTCGGCAATTGACAAGTCCTGGCCGGGATCCAAACAGCGAATCCAACTAGCAGAACTTCTTCCAAATTTCAATCGGGCGTCTTGAGAAGCTCTATTTTTCACTTCTAGCAGCCTGAGTTGACGAGTCATCCATTTCTTGTCGATACGAATCTCCTTATACACTTGAAAGTTGATTTCCTTTACCACTTTTGCATTCAAAACGAAGAACTTTGCAAATCCAACATCTTCCTCACCACCTTTGTAATTTTTCAGAACCAGTACTTTGAGATGCCTCTCAAGGCATTTGATTGGATCTAGTGACTCATACCGAGGCACATTTTCTATCGCTGCCCACGTAAAATAGTGCCTCTGGGAAGAACATAATAAACATATGTTAACATTTTGCTAACTAGGCTCTATTAGATGAGAATTGAATATTCATTTTGATATACAAAGGAAAGAAAAATGAATACTCACAAAGACATAGAGCTTTTCCAAGCAGGGGAAGCATCTAAGGATGTCAAGAACTGCATCCAAATCAGGGCTAAAGAAATGGAGAGCCAAAACCTTTACAGTGCATATTGTGACTTTCAAACTGGATGGGATCAATCGCTAAATGAAGAAAACAATGGAGATTAATAAGCACCCGAACTAACAATGCCAGCTAAAAGTCTAGAGACTGATTCTGCATTTCTGCTGTTACCTGGAAGACTATATTAGCAATCTCAATTTCTGGGATTCGGGCAGATAAAAGGCCCAATATCTCCAATTTAGGTGCCTTAATTACCCGGATAGTCTCACGGTCACGGCCTGTGCCCGGATTTAGCAGCAGCCTTTCAAGGCAAGGGGCGTCCTCAATGAACAATTCTCCTTTCCTCTCAAACAAAGAGCAGACGATGATGATCCTGAGAGTTGTCGAGCTAATGCGGAGACAATTCACATCAGGAATACCCTGCAATTTAAGTGACTCCAACACACGGCAACCAGAGAGCACCCCAGAGAAGGCATCCTCGGAAATGGAGACGCGGAATAAGGTGAGCTGCTTGAGCAAGGGAAAACTCAGCGAATGGGCAATATCATTTGGGAATTTGCAGAGGCCAATTTTTGCCACAAGGAGGGTTGGTGCTAAGCGGAACGCGGATGGTGGCAGCGGGAAACGGTTCTCACGTCCAGAGAGAAAGGGCTGCCTAAAGTTGATGTCGAGCTCCTGAAGGTTGTCAAGGGCAGGGAAGACGAACCAGTTCTCGATCTGAGCGGCTTCCTCGGCATACCTCTTTTCCGCTATGTGGAGGCGGATGGAATAGACGACGAAGCGGCGGGCGGGGCCAGGGTGGTCGGAGAGGATCTTGGAGATGAGGGAGAAGCGCTTGAAGTCGTTGGAACAGAGGTGTTTGGAGGCGTCGAGGTTGAGGGGCGCTGAGCGCCAGAGGGGACGCCATCGGCGAGCGACAGCCTGGGTGCGTGCGCCGTCTTTGGTGGGCAGGAGGGAGATGATTGTGCAGAGGATGTCATCGGGGAGTTTGCTGATGAGATCACCGTGGGTGATGAGATCGCCGCCGCTGACGAGCTCATCGTCGCGGCTCCGCTTCCGTGGCCCGCGACTCTTGGCCGCCGGTTCCACCGCCTTCTTTTTCTTCTTCATGTCGCGTGGCTGGCGAGATGGAGAATTTGGATGGGGAGGTGGTACTACGAATCCGATCGAGGACGGTAGGAGGGCTCTTGAGCTGCTTTCAAATTTATAAGCCGTGGAAGTACATGAGGCGCTCGCTCTATCTCATCGCGTCTCGTGCCGGTGACGAAAAGTTCGGCCACCGCGGACTTGTGTCGCCTCGACTCCGCTGCGACCGAATGCGACAAGGTGCGTGCGCGGCCCCGAACCCCAGCTTGTGTGTGTGTCCGTCAGGGTAGCATGTGTGTTTTTTCACATGTTTCCTCGGCTTGGACCGAATAACACGCGTACCCCCTTCGTCTGGGTTTACTGGGCCGTGAGCAATCTAAACGTGTCTGTTATTTCAAGTAATTAATTCGATTCTAATTCTTTTTTTCTTTTTTTTTTGCGAAATTTTGGTTCTAATTCTGCCCGTTTATAACTATTCAATGCATGCACTTTCTTTCTCCACGATGGGTCACACGCCAAAGAAATTGCCCCGGCCAGCTTCCAGCAAGCGCTTTTGGTCAGTTATCAAGTACTCCCTCTGTCGAGGTGCATACGGCGTTTATGGAGGTGCACCGCGGAGGTGTGCACAGATTGGATGAGGCAAAATTTAATAGCATATTTTTACATGCGTATTTAATTAGTGCATAGTTTGGAAAGTGGCATTGTGGTAGCCAACCATAGGCATGCCTGTGGTTAGTCCGCTCTATTAATTGTTCCTGTTTACATGCGCTCGCGGTTTGCAAAGACTGGGTGCAGGTGCTATGTTATCCCATAAAATTAATTGCATCACGTCGTGCTAGTTAATTGTAACGTTGCTGACTATGACACTCCTTAACGATAGTGAAAACGTCAGCAAGGGAGATATGGTTCCTGTTAAGTCTGAACCCCTCTCGGACGCAGCTCCATGAAATTTTTGTGGGGGCACATTAAAATAGAATGTGGTTAGCGTTCTCTGGCTCTCCGCAGAGTGAGAAGCACCCGGTCTGGCTCGTGCCTTTTTTGAAGATTACTGGCAGACGGTAAACGGTTCACCGCTGCTTGCCAAATAAAGATGCACACTTTCATATGCACTTGATACGTTCATTTTGCATCATACTTTCATATCGATATTTATTGTATTATGGGCTGTTATTACACGTTATGTCACAATACTTATGGCTATTCTCTCTTATTTTACAAGGTTTATATAAAGAGGGAGAATGCCGATAGCTGGGATTCTGGGCTAGAAAAGGAGCAAATATTAGAGACCTATTCTACACATCTTCAAAAGTCCTGAAACTCCACGAAAGTCATTTTGTGAATTAATAAAAAATATTGAGCGAAAGAAATACCTGAGGGGGGCCACCCACCACCCACGAGGGTGGGGGCGTGCCCTACCCCCTGGGCGCGCCCCCTGCCTCGTCGGCCACCTGGCAGCCCTCCGGTGCCTATCTTCTGCTATATGAAGTCTTTTATCCTGGAAAAAATCATAAGCAAGCTTACGACACGAAACTCCGCCGCCACGAGGCGGAACCTTGGCGGAACCAATCTAGGGCTCCGGCGGAGGAGCTGTTCTGCCGGGGAAACTTCCCTCTGGGAGGGAGAAATCATCACCAACGATCCTCTCATCGAGAGGGGTCAATCTCCATCAACACCTTCACCAGCACCATCTCCTCTCAAATCCTAGTTCATCTCTTGTATCCAATCTTTGTACCAAAACCTCAGATTGGTACCTGTGGATTGCTAGTAGTGTTGATTACTCCTTGTAGTTAATGCTAGTTGGTTTATTTGGTGGAAGATCATATGTTCAGATCCTTAATGCATATTAATACCCCTTTGATTATGAGCATGAATATCCTTTGTGAGTAGTTACGTTTGTTCCTGAGGACATGGATGAAGTCTTGCTATTAGTAGTCATGTAAATTTGGTATTTGTTCAATATTTTGATGAGACGTATGTTATCTCTTCTCTAGTGGTGTTATGTGAACATCGACTACATGACACTTCACCATTATTTGGGCCTAGAGGAAGGCATTGGGAAGTAATAAGTAGATGATGGGTTGCTAGAGTGACAAAAGCTTAAACCCTAGTTTATGCGTTGCTTCGTAAGGGGATGATTTGGATCCACTTGTTTCATGCTATGGTTAGGTTTACCTGCTGGGGAACGTAGTAATTTCAAAAAAATTCCTACGCACACGGAAGATCATGGTGATGCATAGCAACGAGAGGGGAGAGTGTAGTCTACATACCCTTGTAGACCATAAGCGGAAGCGTTAGCACAACGCGCTTGATGTAGTCGTACGTCTTCACGATCCGACCGATCAAGTACCGAACGTACGACACCTCCGAGTTCAGCACACGTTCAGCCCGATAACGTCCCTTGAACTCCGATCCAGCCGAGTGTTGAGGGAGAGTTTCGTCAACACGACGGCATGGTGACGATGATGATGTTCTACCGACACAGGGCTTCGCCTAAGCATCGCTATAGTATTATCGAGGTGGACTATGGTGGAGGGGGGCACCGCACACGGCTAAGAGATCCAAGGGATCAATTGTTGTTGTGCCTAGAGGTGCCCCCTGCCCCAGTATATAAAGGAGCAAGGGGAGAGGGGGCGGCCGTCCTAGGAGGGGCGCACCAAGGGGAGTCCTTCTCCCACCGGGAGTAGGACTCCCTCCTTCCTTGTTGGAGTAGGAGAAGGGGAAAGAGGGGGAGAGGAAGAAGGAAAAGGGGGCTGCGCCCCTTGTCCAATTCGGACCAGAGGGGGGGCGCAGGCCTCCTTCCTTTTGGTCTCTCTCCTCTATCCCCGTATGGTCCAATAAGGCCCATATACTTCCCGACGAATTCTCGTAACTCTCCGGTACTCCAAAAAATACCCGAATCACTCGGAACCTTTCCGAAGTCCGAATATAGTCGTCCAATATATCGATCTTTATGTCTCGACCATTTCGAGACTCCTCGTCATGTCCCCGATCTCATCCGGGAATCCGAACTTCTTCGGTACATCAGAACTCATAAACTCATAATATAACTGTCATCGAAACCTTAAGCGTGCGGACCCTACGGGTTCGAGAACAATGTAGACATGACCGAGACACGTCTCCGGTCAATAACCAATAGCGAAACTTGGATGCTCATATTGGCTCCCACATATTCTACGAAGATCTTTATCGGTCAAACCGCATAACAAATACGTTGTTCCCTTTGTCATCGGTATGTTACTTGCCCGAGATTCGGTCCTCGGTATCTCAATACCTAGTTCAATCTCGTTAACGGCAAGTCTATTTACTCGTTACATAATACATCATCTCGCAACTAACTCATTAGTCACATTGCTTGCAAGGCTTATAGTGATGTGTATTACCGAGAGGGCCCAGAGATACCTCTCCGACAATCAGAGTGACAAATCCTAATCTCGAAATACGCCAACCAAACAAGTACCTTTGGAGACACCTGTAGAGCACCTTTATAATCACCCAGTTACGTTGTGACGTTTGGTAGCACACAAAGTGTTCCTCCGGTAAACGGGAGTTGCATAATCTCATAGTCATAGGAACATGTATAAGTCATGAAGAAAGCAATAGCAATATACTAAATGATCAGGTGCTATGCTAACGAAATGGGTCAAGTCAATCACATCATTCTCCTAATTATGTGATCCCGTTAATCAAATGACAACTCATGTCTATGGTTAGGAAACATAACCATCTTCGATTAACGAGCTAGTCAAGTAGAGGCATACTAGTGACACTCTGTTTGTTTATGTATTCACACATGTATTACGTTTCCAGTTAATACAATTCTAGCATGAATAATAAACATTTATCATGAAATAAGGAAATAAATAATAACTTTATTATTGCCTCTGGGGCATATTTCCTTCATTACCTTAATACTTCTTTTGTAGTTGCGGATGCTTGCAATAGTGGTTAATCACAAGTAGGATGCTTGTCGAAGAAAGGGCAGTACCCAAGCACCAGTCCACCCACATATCAAATTATCAAAGTAACGAACGCGAACCATATGAGCGTGATGAAAACTAGCTTGACAATAATTCCCATGTGTCCTCGGGAGCGCTTTTCTCTATATAAGAACTTGTCCAGGCTTGTCCTTTGCTACAAAAAGGATTGGGCCACCTTGTTGCACCTTATTTACTTTCATTGCTTGTTACCCATTACAAATTACCTTATCACAAAACTATCTGTCACCGATAATTTCAGTGCTTGCAGAGAATACCTTACTGAAAACCGCTTGTCATTTCCTTCTGCTGCTCGTTGTGTTCGACACTCTTACTTATCGAAAGGATTACGATAGATCCCCTACACTTGTGGGTCATCAAGACTCTTTTCTGGCGCCATTGCAGGGGAGTGAAGCGCCTTTAGTAAGTGGAACTTGGTAAGGAGACATTTAAATAGTGTGCTGAAATTTACTGTCACTTGTTACTATGGAACATAATCCTTTGGGGGGCTTGTTCGGGGTATCTTCACCCCGACCAGTAGAGCAAAGAGTTGCTCCTCAACCTACTGAACCTACTGAAAATGTTTACTTTGAAATTCCTTCGGGTATGGTAGAGAAACTGCTAGCTAATCCCTTTGCAGGAGATGGTGTTGTGGTTCTAAGTCTGACAGTAGAATGGGGGGTAAGTATGAGAAGGCAAGGTCCTAGCTATGGAGTAGTTGTACACATGAGTGTTTAGCGAGTTCAGGCCCTTCTCTGAGGAAGTAACAGCCCTACGTCTCGGAGCCCGGAGGCGGTCGACTGATCTCTGTGTATATGAGTTACAGGGGTGCGAACCCTTCTACCAGTGGAGGGGGGTGGCTTATATAGAGGACGCCAGGACCCCAGCCAGCCCACGTAGAGGAGGGTTAAAGTACATTAAGGGTGGGCATTACTGGTAACGCCCTACATAAAGTGTCATCATGACCATTAAGACTATTCAATTACAGACTGTTTGAATGCAGAATAGATCCTGAACTTCTGATGGTCGAGTGCATCTTCATGGTCGAGT